TCCCTTTCATCCAAATGCAAGGTACGTATTATCCTGACCTTGTTAGGGTATTTTACTCTGATTTAAATTTAGAGATCAAATTGCTACCTCTAGAGTAAAAGGCGTCACAATTATTCTTGACGATGATATTTGGGAGAATGTTGCCCACTTTCCAATTAGAGAAGATGCTATTAACATTTATGGTGAGTTAGATGATTTTGACAGGTTCTTGGCTTACCGTTCTTTTCTGTGAAATCCCTCCATGGAGATTGGGTGTCTCCTTCTTGCTGGACCTTTAAAGAAGGAGGAACGCATGATTCTACATCTACTTGTCTAGATTCTATGTCCTCGGGCTACAAATCATGCTCAATGTTCTTCAATTGATCTTAGGATTATTCATGCCATAATGAATAATGAGCCCTTAGATTGGGGCGTTCTTGTCACCATGACTATGTTAAAAGAAAAACGCCATCTCACCTTCAAAATTCCATATGCCCTCCTTGTCTCTCGGATTCTTGAATATAAGGGAGTCAATGTCGAAGGTGAACAAACAGTAAGAACAAATAACTTGAATCGCATGCTTGACAGCACATTGATCCAACTACAAATGGTGCGTGTCAACGACATTTATGTTCACAAGATGATGTTCCGAATCAAGGTGGTGAGAATGAAGATTCTGATGAAGATATGCCTCCTCCTGCTGAGTTTCCCTCTGATCAAATCCAAAGTGTTGGAACTTCCTCTACTCATCATGAAACCTGACAATCCATGGAAGACATGTTATCTGACATGAATCAGAGAATGCAGTCATTCTTCACTCTTTCTGGAGTACGGCATGAGGAAATAATTCGTCGTATATCTGATGTAGATGATAAAGTGTGCCATTTAGAAAATAGATTTGATCCACACTTTCATAGTGATGATAGTGAAGAATTTTAAATTTGTTGTTATTTCCTATATTGTAATGATTGCTTATCTCTGAAATAAAATATGATATTCTGTTACTGCTTTGATTGAGGGGGAGTTTTCTCTAAGTTATGCACGTTTTGAGGGGGAGCTCTTATGTTTGTAATAGATGAATTATGTTTGATTCTAATCAAAATAGGGGGAGAAAATATTTAAAGCCTAAAATGATTGTTTTTAAATATTATCTGGTATGTTTAATGTGTTTGTTAGTATGACAAATAAAACAGGTTATTACAAGGCTTTAAAAGATAATTTTGATCATCATCAAAAAGGGGGAGATTGTTGAACATTCAAGGACTTGATGTTGCACTTGATGAACATGAAGATTGTTGATTTTGATGATGATTCAAGAACTCAAAGACTTAGAGTGTTGAAGACTTATTTTGTATTGTAATAACTCTGTTTCAATTAGATTGAGTTTGTAATATTAGAGTTTAAGATAGCCGGTACATAGTCTGCACCTTAGAAGCTTCAAAAAGCTCCAATTTATCATCCAGGCTTGGCTTTAATCGATTAAATAGGGAAATAATCGATTAAAACAGTGAGAAAAACCATTTTTTGTATCTGCTCACTGGTTTAATCGATTAAACCACCTGTTAATCGATTAACAACCCTTTTAATTGATTAAAACAGAGAGTTTTGGGGTTCTGTTGATTTTGGCTCTGTAATAATCGATTAACACTTCATTTAATCGATTATTTCAGTCAGATTTTGATTTTCAACTTCAAATCAACCTTATTTTCGAAAACCCTATTTCCAAGAACCCTAATTCTGAAATTCCCAATTCCCAAACCCTAATTTCTCTACTTAAGCTTCTCTATGGCACTCAGAAAAAAAGAACAACCTTTTTCATACAAAAGTTAAGTGTTGTGAGTGCCAGAGAACTGTTTGTTGCAAGAAAAAGGGGCTTTTGGAACCTGGTGTGGGCTAGAAGCGATAAGAATCACTAAGTGGAGTTCTTAGTGGATTGTGTGTTGTGTCATCTCTGGGGAAAGCTGTTCTTCATCTCTTGTGGATTTCAAGAGAGGTGTTTTCTTTACTTTATCTTTTCCATTGTAATTTGTTTGTAACAACTTTGATTATAGTGACAGCTTTAATCCTCTGTTTGAGTGATTAACAACTGGACGTAGGGTCTTCTGATCCGAACCAGTATAAATCTCCTGTGTAAGACTCTATCTCTTTCTCTATTTACATTTACACAGTTTTTAATCGGTAAAATTTGGGGAAAATGTTGAAAACCTAAATTTTGTTAAGAAACCAATTCACCCCCCCTCTTGGTTTTTGTCCGACCACGCGAACATTCTGATGTGCGATTCTAACAATACACTTTTGAAGTGGCATTAAGGAAATCGATCCTTATCTCAAATTTGTGAATAATGGCCTTGCTTTCAGTGGGAAGGCGGACACTGGAGGAAGATGATTCAGCAGAAGCACGGATAGGACCACCAAATGCATAGTCAATATTATCAACTGAATAAGGTATAAGTACCTGCGTTTCAGTGATTTTTTGAGAAGCTTCTTCTAAACGCAGGACCAGAGCGAACTTTTGGTCGTTTATCTCTATTAAATTTGAAGTCACTGTTGACAATGGCGGAGTTGGGAGGTCAGAGGATTTGGAAGTGGTCATGGCAACTGTGTAAGATTGAAAACGAAAGAGAGTTGACGGATGAGGAAGATGAAAAGTTTAGTTTTTTAAGAGTAGTGAAAGTAATGAAAGTTGATTTGGGTATTTATAAGGCAAACAGGGTAGTTGAAATGACAAACGTGGAAGAAAGTTAAATGGAGACATGACACAGATTTTTGCGGGAAAGACGTGCCCTTATGGAGAATCAAGTACTATAATTGAGGGGAATGGTTTGATTTGACATTTGGTAATAAAATAGCTTTTTATGGTTTTAGAGCATTTATAAGTTGAAATAAACATTTTTTGAAAGAATACAAAATTTGCACAATGTTTTTATTCTTTCAAGGGGGCATTTTGTTAGTGGAAAAATTGATACATGAATCGAGAAGTGGACAGAAGAAATCCGATGACTAGATTAGGATAAAAAATCGACAAAATTGAAGTATCGAGTGTAAAGTTAAAGTCGGTGGAGAAAATTGAAGGAGATCAGAGGCATCATGAAGTTCAAGTATTTGATTTCCGGGATCGAAATTGAAGGAAGCAGTTATCTCTACACATAGGAACATGGGGTAGCGGTTTTTTAACCGTTTTAGGTGGTTATGTTAAGTAGGTTATAAATAGAACTAAGCATTGGAGGTTAGAGGAGATCATTTTGTATCAGAAATTTCTTTTACGAGTCTACGGGAGAACGACAACCATCATGTAGCAATCTGAGTTTCTGCTTTCATCGATCTTTATTACCGCTTTTTGTATTTTTCTTGGTAATTTATTCTTATGCAATTTAAAGTTATATATGTATTACTTTTTCATTTCGTCATTTATTTATCTCTCTGTATTTCTTTAAAGTTAATTCAATCAGAGTTTCATATAATCATTTCCTCTTTATTTCATCTTTCTCTAGTTTTTATGTATTCGCATGTCTCTAAGTTCATATAGCTTTTCATTTTATATCGTTTACTTTTAATTTTACTTTTGTCTATTCTAATATTCTCAAGTTTCTTAATAATAAAAATAAAAAAAAAAAGAACTTTTCGTTTTTAAGTTAATGAATATAATTTATTTATCCATTGTTATTGAGCAACCTTTCTTTCAATTAGATATAATCGTTTATTTGAGTAGCATTGATATATGTATGCTTTTAAATTCATTTTCAGGTGTTTCGTACTTAAATTTATCACCTCTTACGTTTTGATTGAAAATTTTCGTTTGCTATAACTTAAATAAAAGAACTCACATTGGTTGAAAATTGGTTAAAACTTATAGTCTTCGAATCGAAATAAAATCAAATTTCACTAGTAACAGATTCAATATTTAATTTATTATTTTTAATTAGTAATTAATCTTTGTTATGAATGTTAGTAATTTCTACTTATTTGAATCTTTAATTTTTATAACTTTCAACTTAAAGATAAAATTACCATACTTGTTGTAATAATATGAAACTATGTAAAAAAAAGGTTAAATTAATTTATAACAGTTATACTTACAAATCCATATAAAAATTATGTTTAAAACATTATAACGTATTACATCAAATTATAATAATGTTTATATTTCAAGTCTTTAAAATTTATAGTGCAATATTGTTAAAAATAATAATTTTTTAAACGAACTACTAATAAAATTTTAAATTACAAATTTCATATGAAAAGAAATTAAAAAATCAAATATAGTTTTTTAAAAATTATTAATATAATCATTATAATAAAAATTCGTATTGTTATAGTTGAAGCAAATGGCATGTGTTATTCAACAGTTTGTATGGTTGAAATTTTTGTGTATTTCTTGAAAACTTTTTTGTATTGAGAGTTTAACAAATGGTTCTGATATCAAATAATATATATTATTAATAAATAATAAATAAATATAAAAAATTAAAATTATAAATATATAAATAAATATATTTAATTATAGTTAAATTTAAATTAACCAAAATCATAAAAATAAGTATAAATGGTAAAATTTTGGAAAGTCATGATTTTCACCTTCCCATAAGTTACGTCGTTGTTTCTTGGATTTGCCGCATCTACTCCAAACCACAAATATGAATAATGATTATTAATTTCATAATTAATTCAATATTTATGTTCTCTACGTGCTTGAAAAATGATTTCTAAACAAAATCCAACTCGGTTAATCCCTTGTTGAATTTGTCGACCATTTTGCCATTTGTGTCACAATAGTCACGGTCAACTTATATTATTCAAACAATCTCGTTTAGTCTGCATAAATGAACTGTGTTCATCGATTACTTTTCAAGCAAATCAATCAGTGTGTTGGGTGAAATAGTTAAGAAGATTTGGATCATAAAGAAAGAATTAAACTCTCATCATACATGAATTCTTTACAATGATAACAATTGAATACGAAGAAATAAAAGGTGTGATTTTATTTAATCCACTGACTGAGACGAAGTAAAACAAACAAAGATCTACCATTGCTTAGTGCAATCTGTGTTCTTAAAGGACACTGTATTTTGTTTTAGGTCATAGCCGACCAAAAGGTTTTGCTGAGCCAAATTCCCAAAGACAGCACCAATTTGACTTGGGATGAAAGCAAAGCACACAACTCCATCAGCCACAGGAATGAAGGTGCTGATAGAATATAAAAGGACATCAGCACCGCTAAAATGTGCTGTGATCACTGGTACATCTAGTTTATCAGATTTAGCTTCGTAGCAAAGGCTCAAAACTTGATTTGGATCCTTAGTACGCCGCAACTTAACTGCACTTGCAACTGCTGATTCCAACTTTGAGTAAACATCATTTGGCAAAAGAGTGAGTGTTGTACCTGAGTCAATTATGGCATTTCCCTTTCCACCAGATTGTCCAAATTCTATTCTAGTACCTCCCACACTGAATGCTTCCAAGGTTAGGTGGTAAAGCACATCATTCTTTGAGAATAACGGGGTTGAGACAGCACCATTTCCAGAAACCACAGCAGCATCTCCAAAATTGAGTTTGCTAGATGAAATAGATTTTGAAAGTGTTGGTACCAGACAATAAGAAAACTTCCAACCTATTGAAGAACCCAATTGGGTTATAAGGGACGCAGATCCGTGTCCTAGGCCAACTACGCCAGAATTGTTCGTATGAGAGGGAATGGCATTGTCATGTCCACATCCTATCACAGTTCCAGGAAGTTGGATAGGAGAGCCTTTGGTGGAGGCAAAAGTGAGGGTCTCCTCACTAAGATCTCCTTGTGAGTGTGAGCCATCACCAAAGTTAATAGCATATTCACAATGTTTGCTACTGTCAGAGGAGCAAGAGGTACCTAATACAGAATGACATGCATTGGAAGAGCATGGCATGGTTTTGTATGTTTTTGACTTTGAAGAATCAAATATAGGACTAGATTGATTAAAACAATTTTTACATGGTTGGCATTGCAACCAAATGATGTCACTACCAGTATCAACAATTCCAAAGACATGGAATGGTGGGGTTCCAACTGAATAGCTCATCAGGTATTCACCTAAATCTGGTGTGACAGGAGCCTGGGGTGTGTTTGCAGACACAGAAGATAATTGGTTTAAATTATTGACACGGTTAATGGAACGACGTATAGCATTGGAAACCCTTTGGAAGTGAGTTTCTGTGGAACGATAGAATGGTGATTTTGGTGAATCACGGTGGATGATCTCCACACTGAATCCACCATTGAAACCTTCTGAGAAGGAGAGGTTGTAAAGACACAGTAAAACCAAAACAAGAGATTGTGACATTATGTTCATCACTAAGATGAATAAAAGTGAACAAATAATATTTTAAGGATTTGATGATGAAACCACATCACATTATTAGTGGCTTTTTATAATATTCTAGAGATTCAGACCGAGAGTGTTTATGAACAAGTTTTTTCTTAATTAGGGAGCATCGATAAAAAAAAAATTATTAATAAATCATTGCTAATATTTTGCTTTGGTATATACTAAAAAAAAAAACTAATGTTTGTATAACAATTATTAAAATGGATGATTAAGTGAAATGTTAATAATAGGAATTAATAAATTTTTATAGAAATGAATCAAAACTATTACAGAATATAAAATAAAATACAATCAAAAATTTAATTCAAATTAATAAAATATGAAGAAATATACATGAATAACTTTTATAATTTTTTTAAGTAATTAAATCTAAATTAGGTAAAATTTAAATTTTGATACATAAAAAATCTTATTTAAATAAAAAGTAATGTTAATCTCATACAATTAATTTTGTAGATTCTAATTTGTAAATCCGTGTCATGAACGAGATTTTAGAATGAAAAAAAAATTAAAATTTGTTTTAAGGATAGTTTAGTTTAATAACATAGAAATATTGAAGTTTATAATTAAAGAATTTAATATATATATATATATATATATATATATAATTAATATGTAAAAAATGCAAAAAATAAATAATAGAGTAAAGGCAAAAAAATAATAATCTAACTATGGAAATTTGGAATATTTTTTATAATGAATTACATAAAAATAAAATATATATATAAACTATAAAAGAATGAATAAGCAAAATTTTAATAATAAGATGTATTTAATTTTTACAGCGATGAATTAGAAAATATTGTAACTACTAAAAGAAAATACACCGGAATGAAGAAATATATTAATTAATTTTGTTATTTTTTATTAAGTAATTGAATCTAAATTAGGTAAAAATTTAAATCTCCTTACATAAAAATATATATAAAAACTATTAGTTAGGTAAGAAGAAACTATAAAGAAAAATTTAATAATATTCTTCAATTAATTAATGTATTGATTCACTACAAGAAAAAAGCATTTTAGCGACTGAAAAAATCGGTCGCTAATGGCAAAAAATCGGTCGCTAATTAGTTAGCGACCGAAATTAGCGACCAAAATGCGTCGTCGCAAAAAGCCAAGTCGTTAATGTGTTAGCGACCGATTTTCATTTCTTTCGCAAAATAGCGAACGATTTTATTTCGAGTCGCAAAATAGCAACCGAAATTAATATATCAAATTGGTCGCTAAATCGGTGACAAAGTTAAAAAAATAGTGACTGATTTAAATCGGTCGCTAAATCGGTGAAAAAGTTAAAAAAATAGCGACCGATTTAAATCGATTGCTAAATCAATGAAAAAGTTAAAAAAAATAGCGATCGATTTAAATTTACATTTTTAATTATATTTATTATTTATTTCCCCTACCTCTTTTTATATTATATTTTTGCTTATTTAAGTTTTTATTTATATTTATTACTTATTTCCCCTAACTCTTAATTATATTATATTTTTTAAAGGTTTAACTTATTATTAGAGTTGGAGGTCGAAACTCCAACCATCTGAGCTACTTAGAATTTTTTAATAATAACTTACAAATAAATTATATTTATATACAAATAAATGTATATCCAGTATAAATATATAAATATAAAATCTATAAATAAAAATATATTTATATATTTTAATATATATTTAAATATTAATACATTGATATATTTATATATTGATATATTTAAATATTGATATATTTATATATTGATATATTTATATCTTTATATTTTTATATATATTTATATCTTTATATATTTATATCTTTATATTTTTACATATATTTATATCTTTCCATATTTATATATTTATATATAAAGATATAAAGATATTAGTTTTGTATACAAATAATATTATAATATAGTATATTATACTATTAGTATAGTATACAAATTATATATTAGTATAGTATAGTATACAAATTATTAGTTTTGTAATTTATACACTATAAAAATAAATTACAAAATATTATAACATAATGGTATATTAATATAATATAATATATTTGTATTCTAATTTTTAATTAAACTAAAATTACGCTAATAATGTATAATAATATATGAGGGGATAATATTGATATATATATATATATATATATATATATATATAATATATATATATATATATATATATATATATCAAAATATATTTATATAATGATATATTTATATATTAATATATTTATATATTTATATTTTGATATATATATATATATATATATTGATATATTTATATATTTATTTATATCCTTATACATTTATATATTTATATATTTGAAAAAAAGATTAAAATTTAAATATTAAATTTTAAAAATAATATTATATTTTTAAAAATAAATATTAGAAAAAGATTTAAAAATATATATAAATTATATTTACATGTACAAAATATTAAAGATATATATTTATATCTTTATATCTTTATATCTTTATATCTTTACATATATTTATATTTTTATATCTTTACATATATTTATATCTTTATATCTTTATATATTTACATCTTTATATATATATATATATATATATATATATATATATATATTTATAATATATGATACATATATTTATATATTTTAATATATATCTAAATATGATACATAATATATTTATATATTTATATATATATATTTAAATATTGGTATATTGATATATTGATATATTTATATATTTATATATTTATATATTTATATATTTATATATTTATATATTTATATATTTATATATTTATATATTTATATATTTATATATTTATATATTTATATACTAATATACCATTATATTATTTTCATTGTATATAAATTACAAAACTAATAATTTTTAAAAAATTTAATGATAATTTTTTTAACTTATATATTACAAAATATTTTTTAATACTTTAATAAATATAAATTTTTTAAAATATTTTCATTAATTTAAAGTATAACTTTTAATATTTCTTAGTATTTTTTTAAATGTAGATATCTTTAATATTTTGGACATATAAATATAATTTATACATGTTTTTAAACCTTTTTCTAATATTTGTTTTTAAAAATATAACATCATTTTTAAAATTTTATAGATTTATTTCCAAACTATAATTTGAGTTTTTAAAAATGTTTATTTCCAATCTATAATTTGACAGAAATCACATAGAAATGTATTATATGTTATTTTGAATATTTTGAAAATTTAATCGATCATCATCAAAAATTACATTAACTATTTTTTTGAATATTATGTTTTTAAATTTGGTAATGAAGAAAACGTTTCAGAAAGAAAAATGTTAAATAATTTTAAATATTAAAATTGACTTTATAAAAATTAGGAAAAAAAATTAATCAAAAAGAGTTCAAAAATGTATTATAATATTTTCAGTTTTAGTTTAATTATATTTTTCATTCTCAAAGTAGAAAAATATATTGTAATTATTTTAATTTAATAAAATATAATTTAAATTTTTAATACTAAAATTAAAAGATTAAATAATAATAAATTTAATTCTTTAAATTTAGTATTTAGAAACTAAAATTATAGTTTCTCTGTTTTAAAAAATTAAAATAAATATTTAAAAATAAAAATCAAAACTAGTATTATCTTAAATTTATTAAAAGTATAATTAAATCTGTATTTTTTTAAATTTTTCTTTTTTTAACTTCTCAATTTTGCATTTTTGTCAATTCCATCATTATATTATCATCCTCATCTCCTCCCATGTTCTACTTTATGTTTACAATAATTAATATTCTTAAATAATTTATATTTTTATTTATAATTTTTTAATATATATTTGAGAAATTAATCAATTATAATCTATTATTTGAAAAACTAATCAATTCTAATCAATTATTTAGAAAACTAATCGATTATAATTAATTATTTGAAAAAATTATCAAATATGATCGGTTATTTGAAAATGTAATCGATCATAATGGTTGTATATGATAGCAGTTCCACTTGAACCGCTCTTAAAACAGAACATCTAATAGCGGTTAAACCTTAACCGCTATCTAAAATACAGTTTAGATAGCGGTTAACGTGGAACCGCTATCTAAAATATAGTTTACATTAACTATTTTTTTGAATATTATGTTTTTAAATTTGGTAATACAGAAAACATTTCGAAAGAAAAATGTTAAATACTTTTAAATATTAAAATTGACTTTATAAAAAATTAGGAAAAAAATTAATCAAAAAGAGTTCAAAAATGTATTATAATATTTTTAGTTTTAATTTAATTATATTTTTCATTCTCAAAGTAGAAAAATATATTGTAATTGTTTTAATTTAATAAAATATAATTTAAATTTTTAATACTAAAATTAAAAGATTAAATAATAATAAATTTAATTCTTTAAATTTAGTATTTAGAAACTAAAATTATAGTTTCTCTGTTTTAAAAAATTAAAATAAATATTTAAAAATAAAAATCCAAACTATTGTTATGTTAAATTTATTAAAAGTATAATTAAATCTCTATTTTCTTCAATTTTTCTTTTTTTAACTTCTCAATTCTGCATTTTTGTCAATTCCATAATTATATTATCATCCTCATCTCCTCCCATGTTCTACTTTATGTTTACAATAATTAATATTCTTAAATAATTTATATTTTTATTTATACTTTTTTAATATATATTTGAGAAATTAATCAATTATAATCTATTATTTGAAAAACTAATCAATTCTAATCAATTATTTAGAAAACTAATCGATTATAATTAATTATTTGAAAAAATTATCCAATATGATCGGTTATTTGAAAATGTAATCGATCATAATGGTTGTATATGATAGCGGTTCCACTGGAACCGCTCTTAAAACAGAACATCTAATAGCGGTTAAACCTTAACCGCTATCTAAAATACAGTTTAGATAGCGGTTAACGTGGAACCACTATCTAAAATATAGTTTATATTAACTATTTTTTTGAATATTATGTTTTTAAATTTGG